TGTGTTGATGATTCTCACGTGGGATAAGTTTATTATCAATAAAAATGTCATCTAACGTGTTAATATGTTTCACACTCAAATATATTTTTGGTTAGAGCTTCAATTCTTCTCATTGAATATTATTTATAGTAAATATATATTTTTGGTATGCTATTTCATGAATTACCACTTTATCTTATATTCATTCAATTGATAATTCATTCATTTACTAATCCTTTCGAATCATAAAGCACAGCTAAAATTGTAATATTAAATTTATGTCTCACTTTCTTTATATCTCTTCACCCGAAAGACATTTGCAAAGTTGCCATTAATGCGTTGGTAATTTTTAATACTAAAAAAATAAATTAATGAAAATAAAAAATTTAAAATAAATATTAACTTTATTTACGTATATAAATATGATTTTTTCCCCATTTGATATCCTTTTAATGGATGCAATTTTGAGTGCGCTGAAATGCCTTTGAGCTTTACAACAATGTAGACTTTAATGGGACTTCTGCTGGTATTTACATATCGCTCACGAGTTGCCAAATTACCAGTTTCATGTGGCAATCAGTTGGAATCGTGTCCGTAATGAGCGTTTACAAATTTGGCCTCAAAACGAACAATGAGTGCAAGGAGACGAAGCTTTCCCTTATTGAAACCCATGAAGACTTATTGACAGCCCAACGCAATTACATTTACCCAAAACGCTGACCGGCCCCGTTGGCGAGCACGCACCGAGAAGCTGGTCGACAAGGTATGAACGGTTTGTTGGTTGGTTGGTAACTTCAGATTTTTTGGGTAACTCATTAAACTGCGTTTAACGAGTGAGGCAACGCGCTGGCAATTGCCAGTTGCCAGTTAGCCAGTTAGCAATTGGCAATTACTTCGATTTATGAGCGCTACTAAAAAGCAGCTCAATAAAAGGGCGGCCAGCGAAGCACAAACTGGGCTAATGAAAGCGTTAATGTAAACTGGCTGAGGCAGTCTAAAGACCTGAAGCTGCTCAGATAAATACGAAAGCAAAGATATATATATTGCGAAGATGTAGATGAGAGCAGAGATGAGGATGAGAATGAGTGCCTGGCTATTTGTTTTAAATCATTTGGCCAAATGCCAGACATATTTCATGCGCGAATATAGCGCATACGCCTCCGTGTGCCACGTAACTCACGGTCAGTGCCAAGTTTCGTTTTGGGCCGTGTCTTCGTTTCTTTGTTTTTGTTGTTTTCGCCAAGGAATTTGAATTTGAACGCCAGACATTTGGGCGTTGCACAGTTGTAAATTCATTTGTTAAACGATGCGCTCATAAAATTTGCGCCCTTTTTACGGCGCTCGGACCCAGAACCAGACGCGATCTTAACTCTTGTGCTGTGAGTTCGCCTTGAGAACGTTGCCAGCAATGCACACACAGGACACCACAAAGGGGCGTGACTGGCATCGACTCTCCGAGTCCAACTCAGTGTCAGCATTTGGCAGTGCCATTCGACTATCGGGCACTGGCAATGGTTCTGGCTCCGGTTCTGGCCAACCTCCACTCCACCCCGGAGGCACTGAAAGTTCAACAGCAGCGCGATTTATTTGCCAGCCGCAGACGGCGCCAGCTGAGGCCCCTTTTCAGTTTCGGTAGGGGCTTTTGCTTGCCACAAAAACTTAACAGTAATTATATGTCTTGCACTCGCAAATACACACACACACGTACACACACACACCTCAAATGTAAATTGTGCTTGGCCCAAAAGAAATTTCAGCTAATTTGCCAGCATTTAAATATATATATGTGTATATAAATATATACACAACGCGATAGGTGCATATGTTTGCCCCATAAGGTTGATGCTGCTGTTGCTGTTGCTGCTTAATCCACACTCGCAGCTGCCCTCGACTGCCACATCTACAGCAAGAGCAACTGAGCGTGTTAATTCGACATGTTTTTCGCCAAAAACCATTTAGGGCCAAGTATTTGCTCTGCGTGCGGCTGCTGCGACTTCTGCTGTTGCAGCATCCTTGTGAAGCTTATGTGGTTTTCATGGAACAAAAACGCGCGTAAAAAACGTCAAATTGCAACACCTCGAGGGCACAAAACAGCGCACAGCACACAGCACACACAGCCAGAGTCAAAGCTAAAGAACCAGAACAGCAGCTTCAAGAGCCAAGAGGTTGAGCCACTGGCCTGGACAGTCCATAAGTCAGACGCAATTCACGTTTCTCTCTCTCTCTTTGTCTCTCCCTCCGTTTCCCCCTTGGTGGCTGGGCCCTGTCTACCCTCATAATAATTGCGTATCTGGCAGATGCAATTTATCCGTGAATTTGTTTTTAATTTTCAACACATTCGCTAATTTGATTTTTAACTTCGTTTCGAACACTGCCTCGGTCTCAATCACAGGCAGCCCGTCCAAATTGCTACACCTAATCGTGGACGTGGATGCTGCTGGGACGCAGTCGCAACGTTTGCGAGATGCTAAGATGCTGGGATGCTGAGCAGCTCGGTTAGCTGAGCTGAGCTGAGCTGAGCTCTCCTGTGAACGGTGTCCAACACCCGCTTTCATTTATAATTTTGTGCAACTCACTCTGACTAGTGCAGCGGACAGCGCTGCCCAGCGTTCCCAAGTGCCCAGTCTCGGCTGGCAGTCCGAGGGTTTGTATCTTTTTTAGCTCTTGGCCAAGTTAGCATTGGTTGCTTGGCTGACTGGCTGGCTGGCTGGCTGGCTGGCTGGCTGACTGCACGGGGCGCTGCTTGTTAGTCGCGTAATTTATGTTCCAACAGATACTCGTTGGCGTTGGCTTCAACCATTTCGCCTTCTTCTTCTTCTTCGCCCCAGCAAATGTCCCTCGCGTTGTGTCCCTCTTTCGTGTGTGTGTGTGTCTTTGCTTATTTTCTTATCCGTTCTTATCCAAGGGCCGCGTTGTTTGCGCAGGCGCAACCCAAACAAATCGATTTTCAACGCAATGCCACGTACGTCGTAACTCCCAGCTCCCCGCTCCCGTTGCGGTTGCCATTCTTCATGCCTCGTTGGCTCGTTACTTGGTCTGCTTCTTGCTGCATGCTGCAAATGCACAGTGAGCGTGAAAGGATTAGGGATTATTAGTGGCAAAAGACAAAACTGTGTCATATATGAAAGAATGCAAGTAGAAAAACTATAACAACTAAATTCTTAAGATGTTTAAGTTTCTATCTATCTACATCTATCTGATTTGCCCATCAAACACCGATCTTCTTGTGCATATTTATATGTATATATTATTATTTCTTTATTTATATGCATGTATCTCTATCATTTAATATATTTTGTACTACCATTTTGAACGGCTATCGTTAATCGCTTGCCACCTCGTGAAAAGCTTTTGACTTTAACATCCACCTCCAACTTTGAGTTCCCAGTGGCTAACTGGCTGCAACATAAGGCTACCAACCAACTATAATCCACACCTTAGCTTTATTGCCAATAATTTTCAGCATCGGCCACAAGAACACGAACCGGAAACATAACAAATCATAAATTAAACCCTCGTTAAGCGAACTTATTGCACTTGCAGGCCATGCCGGGCGTCTCGCCCATGCGCCTTAACGTGGAACCGGACTCTTGGCTGTGGACAGGGACTGGGCTCTCAGATCCAGGCCAATACTGGCCAAGTCAAGAGCAGAGCTGGAGCGCTGCAGAGCCAGGGCATACCTGGCATCATTTGCTTCTTTTTATGCCTTTCAATGCGTTGCTGTGAGTTTTATTTTATGTTACTACTTGTTTAAATTATATTGCGCTATTAAGCGAATTTAATGAAAACGCTGCAAGGCGAATGTGCGAAAGACATGGAGAGTGCACCACTGTGCGCCAGAAAGAGACAGTCATACTGTTGCCTGGTTAGGTGTAAATTAAAGTACAATTTTTAGCAAATTCATTCCACTGAGCTAACAAATTTTTTGTAAGCAGCGCGCTGACCAAGAAAGAAAATACCAAAAAAAAAGGGAGATTTAGAGTGGAATTTAGTGAGTGAAGCGGATCAGTGAGCCCGTTGCATACCGCATACCGCACAAATTGCGCTTAATCCATTGGTATTTCATTATTAAGCAATTTTCTGGGCCTTGCCGCGCCAAATCGAAAAACTTTTGCCGGCCAATTTAAATTTTTATGCAATTTGTTCAAAAATGCTGTTACTTTTGTTGCAAAACCAGCATAATTATTTCCGAGAAGAGCTCAAAAAACCCCTCTGGCGGCAGTTGCAAAAAAAAAAAACAGCAACAACAAATAACACAACAAAAAAAATACATGTCAACCAAAATCATTGCAGACGACACATTATCCTCACGGCAAAATGATGCTAATCCATCACAGACCCACACAGTCCCGCAAAATGTCACTTAAGCATGCGAGAGCGAGAGCGGTCAGTCAGATCAATTCACAGACGCAGACGAGCGATATCATTTAAAGTACGAATTTGTGTGCTGGCAGCAGGACAACGAGGAGCCAGCCCGGCCCATTGTACTGCGCCTTGTATGGAGCGTTAACCAAGTGCGAGCAGCAGCGATCAGCGATCAGTTATGAGATTTTGAACAAAAGAACTTAACTGTAAACGAGGGCGCAGACCAGACAGAACAGAGGCAGAGGCACAGTCTGAGCCAGAGCTACAGGAACAGGGACCCCAGAACGACGCAAAGTCTGGCAAAACGTGAACGCTGATCGCCTTGACTCTCAATTCTCAATTCTCGATTCTCGATCTTCGATCTCGTACTCGATCAGTGAATTATGCGCGACATCATTTTAAATCGTTGTAGCAACGTCAAAGCTAAACACCGATCAGGTCAGCAAAAAGCAAACCAAAAACCCGCGTTGCCCATTGTTTTTTCTTATGATTTTTTATTTATTTTTTTTTTTGAGTAGCAGTCGTCGGTCGAGCTGCCGCCCTAATTGATGCAGCACGGCCATAAATTTTGAGTTGGCAGCGGTCGTTGAGGAGCTGTGCAGATCGCAAGCCTTCACCCAGAGGGACGTGTTGGCCCTTAAGGCGAACTGCCCGAAAGAACGCCTAAATATTGCCATGAATACATCAGACATTAACCATCAGCCATCAAGCATCAGTTGCAGCATCCGCAACAGCATTACCCTTTATTAAGTGCAGCGTCCTATTTGTGTACCCGCAAACCGAGTGAGAACTCAACTCCGCGCGGTGCAAAGCTGCCGAGTTTCATGCTAAAACGTCCAACCAGTAGCTCCTGGTCGGCAACATCGAGGGCATTATCTTCTAGGGATAGCAACGTTTGCTTCATATACGTTTTTGGTGTATCTGGGCCTGTGGCAAACAACTTTTGCAGTTGACCCCTGGCATTGATGAAGCCTATATCAAAGTACAGCATACATCCAGACACTTTGCCCTTCCGCAACGCCTTCATCTTGAAATCGACTGTAAAAGATTCATTATATTTGGACGTAGTCAGGTTTATGGTTTTCAGTAGAGACTTTTCCGTGATGACTGATTGCTGGTTCACATATTCGTCCGTCAATAAGACGGGTCGTAGGTTTTTATTCATTGTCTGTCGGGCTGACTGGGCTATGCCATGTATGTAGAGGTTCGCAACGTTTGGAAAAATGTGTCCACCCCTTGCCAGCCACTTGTCACGTGCCTCCAACATCTGGCGAAAAAGTGAATCAGCGAAGAGGGCGTGACTGAAAGAGAAATGATAAATAAATCAAGCAGACTGGTTGGATGTTTATCAATGAATAAACTCCTACCCCATCCACTCTGAAACTATGATATCCACCTTCTTAAGTCCACACGGCAATCGAATTTGGCTGATGCAGCCCTTGAGAGGTTCAAAAACCTCTGCATTCTCGCCATGCCCCAAAGCCTTTGTCACATATCTGGCACTACGCATGTTGCCCACAGCAAAGACCTTCACAGCACCAGCTTCAACGGCCAGAAGACTCAGCAGCCCACTGCGGCAACCCACATCCATCACAATCTAGAAACGAGATCGCCAATTGAAGCACGGGCAGTACAATGATATTAGATTAGATTAGAAGCGAGTACCTTGTCTTTGAACAGGTCCGAATTGTTCTTGAAAAACTGATTGTAGACATTGGAAACGAGCACATCTGATAACATATTCTCTGCCATATCCCAAGGATCTTCCATCTTTTCCAGTGTTTAGAAATCTTGATTTCTAAAATGTTGGTTATATCGAAATAAAATTTCCTTGACAGTAATAGAATATGTCAGGCTGAACACAACGTTAAAGCTATTGCTTATGCTCACAGGAACTCATCTAGTCACTAAATATTTAAGTTCTATTTTTAAAAATTTGAAAATAATGTCCAACAATTTGAAGCAATAAATAAAAGAGTTTTTATTTAATGCGATTCGAGGATGTCTCTGAAACAACACATCCATAACATCTTATCGCGTTCCCACAGCCACAATCCTTGCTGTCGGCTGGAACCAGCAACAATTAGTTATGAACCAATGAAGTGACTTTGATAGCGGGCTCTATCAGCACAACTTGTTGCCCATATGTTATACCCATGCTCATGCTATCTAACGAGCCCTTAATTTATGGTAGACTAGCACAGTGCGCGCCGTTGACAAATGCCAGCAATTTGATACCTAATACATTCCAGCAACAGGAACAAGAGCAGCAACAACAACAACAACAACTACAACAACTACAACAACAATAATAACAACAACAGCAACACCAATAGCAACAACAACAGCGCGGAAAGACGGAATACGATTTCATTATACAAATTGAAATGTTTGCTGCGCCTTCTCCCTCCGCACACTGGCTCCTTCTCACTGATCTGGCCTGAGCTTGGCTTTGGCCATTGTTTAGAGTTTTGTTAATGTGCGCCGCAGGGAGCAGTGTTAGTGTTATTTGGTGTTGACCAAAATCAAAGATCGTCTCTCTTATGCATACATATATACATACATATAGACAAACATATTGTGTTACCCGAGTGGGTCAGCCTATGGCTCATTTGTGGCGCTTTTGTGTGCGCCAGATACTCAATATATTATAGTAATATCCAATATTGGTGTGCATATTAATATCATGAGCTTATAAAGCAATTTTATGGCATTTTAAAAACGGTCATTAACAAGAGACATACCATGCACAAACACAATAGCGATATCTCAAGATACAGACAAAGTGAATACCCAAAATTGTAAATAGAGTTGTAAACGCATAAAAGGCGATCATTGTGGACACCAAGGCGACGGCTTTCACAAATTTATATGGGGCTATCAATTAATTAAAAGAGCAACCGCGACAGGCACGTTATTATTTTCACATTTTCTAAATGATCTTGTAGCGAGCTGGGGCATGGACTCGACTTGAATACATATACAGATGCGTAAATATATATGTATATATATATTTAACGTGTGTGCCGAAATGAATTTGTTAAGAATGTTGTTAACATTCACAAACATCCACTGTCCACTTTCTAAGCCAACTTTTGATTTGACTTTGACTGCCTCGGGCAACAATTTGGTCTTCATTTAACGACTCATTTTATGATAGTTATTATATTTTTCAACGCATTTTATGGTCGCCACGTATTACACAAATATTTGTCTAGCCATATAATTTTGTGTGTTCATTATGCTCAAGAGATGTTTGTTGATTGTTATTGAGACGCATAAAACTATCTGCTTTTGTAGGTACATTATCGAATATAATATAACTACAAGTCTGATGCTTGCTAAGATTTAACCTATTACTATTTCCATTCCAGGTCGGATTTCCTGACAATATTAATTCTTACGGTAAGTCTTCCAATCCAAGAACTTCTCGTAATTTTTAAACTTTATATAATTAAGTAATAATGCGGTATCGGAACTCCCGCTGAGTTTCGCTCCGTAGACCTGGTAAATTTTATGAATGATCGTAAAAAAAAGCTTTCAAACCAAAAAGAGAATCATGCCGCCAACACCTAAGCGTTAAACAATAACATTGCTTTAGTCTGTCAGTCACAAAAACCAAAAAAAAAAAACAAATTTTATGGTCAAAATTTAATGACTCCTAAAAACCACTTTCACTGGCAATCCTAAAACAAAAACTAAAATTTGTGCAATATGTGCCGAAAATAAAAGATCAGTTATACACACATACATATGTATTAACGAATTAATGTGGTTTTCTATGCATATAAAAACAACAATATAATTCGTCATAATTTTAGTGTATCATAAAAATTCTCCATATGCAATCGAAGCAAATAAATTACTTCATTAATCAATTTTGTCACAAAGTAACCATAAAAAAACAAGCACCTCAAATGACAGTATATGAGCATAATAAGCTAGGTAACATTTTTAATGTTGCAAAGTTTTATGTTAATTTGCCATTTCTGGCATTCCTTAATTAGCTCATGTGATCCATGAGGGGCTTGGTGTCTGGCTCCAACAGCTCATCCCCCCCTCTCTCTCTCTCTCTCTCTCGGTCTCTCTGTCTCTCTTGCTCAAAGGGCGAAACCGTTGCTTTGTGGTCGCGACTTAAAAAGCTGTTTGGTTTTTGGCACAAATCAATTAATGTTTTTACAGCTCCGTCAAGTTACCACCGAAATGGGACACAGACCGTGTCCCATTGAGAATGCCACCCACTGTGCACGAGTGCAAATAAAAATCGTAGACGCTTTGCATATTGAATGCGTTGCTATTGTTATCTGACTGGCGACTTGGTGGCCATGGTTTATTTCCAAATGCTAAACATCCAATTATGAATGATGGCACCGAATCGTGTCGTTTTCACCTGCTGACCCAAAGAGCGCAATACTCAAACTCGAAATTTTATGATTTAATTATGCATTGTGGCTGCAATGTTGCCCGACTTGGAATCGATTGCGTATGCGACACATTACATGACAGTTATAAATTGTAACAAATGAGCAAACGAGGGAGTGTCTATGCCTGTGTACATGCCAGGGGTGGGTTCATCTGCGAGTTAACCACTTTATGAGCAACTAATAATAACATGTGCACCCCGAATGCGTTACAAAAATCACATCAATAAGTGGTTGATTGGCCTATCAAATTTATGGCTTCTTATTGTATTGCATTCGCCATTACACAATTGTTAAATTGCACTACAAAAAAGAAGATTGAATTTAAATTAGACTACGGCATTCGATTACAGCCGAGCATAATCATTATGAATCTGTTCGATTGAACTACTCTCTTGACAGAACAATTCAACTAAGTTATTTTAGTTCGTTCATTTGATTCAGTCAATTTAGAAGTCAGTTCTTTAGTTGTAAAATTCTTTCTGCTTCAAATCCAGAAATTGTGTTAATTGTACTTAGTGCATTGAACTGTTTTAAGAACGTACACTCACCCTAATATACTCAGCGATTCAGAAACTATGTAGCACAGTGTAGATTTTATTTGGCAATCGTTCACTGATTCCAACGCGACTCACCCAATACTCAATCGTGTTTTTTTTATTCCCACTTCTGCTCTTTCGATCCTGCCAATTTAATTGCTGGTTGTGCCAAAAAATTTGATTGATGGCATAGTCATAAATATACTTTCCGACACTTGGATATTTTAATTAGAATGCTTTTGTGTTCGCTGCCACATGCAACAAAATTGCCAGGGCAAAAAAAAAAAAAGAAAGAACTAGAAGAATATATTATTAAGAAATTACCGGAAAACCCCTAAGTTGTAAAATGAATGCAGTGCTGTGTTGACAATTCTAATTGTTAATCCCAAAAAATTCTTTGACTTTCAATATATCGCGATAATAGTTTAAACCGATTATTTGCAAAACTTATCGAATTGTTTGCATAAAAAAAGTTGCTAAATTTTTCCAAATTTTGGCCACCAAGCTAACGAAACCGTTGTTAAACGATTGTTTTTACCAATTAGCTACCCCAAATGGGCAGATACGATTTGAGTGCCGCTGATAAATGAGCAATTCTTTGTTGTTATTTTGATTTCCTAACCAAATTTCCGCCGAGAAGGCCAATAGCCTGAAGGCTGCCGCTTGTCTTTCGTCTGTTTTGTGGCGGACACAAATAAACTAAGTGAATTTATAGCCACAGGGCGGCTCGTGCACACGTGTGCGACATGCCCACACATTGACACCTCTTGCTTTTGGCTAGGTCTCGAACCCCAAGCAGCATACTCCTCCTACTCCACTCACAAACACACACACATGCACCTGCTGCTTGGCATCCAGTTTGCTACAGTTGCAAGTCCCTCGGCGCGCTTTGTTTTTGTTTATGCTGGGCAGGCACAAGCTGACAATGCTCCATCATGTCCAGCGTACGTGCGGCCAAACAAATTACAGGGGCACTGCGTCACCTGCAGGAATTTCCAAGCCTACATTGTCAAATGCCATCAAAAGTTGTTGGACATGTCGTAACATTAATTTGACATTTTACTGCATTGCACGTGGGCCAAAATGGGGTTGGTAACAAGAAACAAAAACAGAGCAACAACAAAAAGAAAAAAACAATATCGAATTATGCATGAATAGTTGACTCCTTAAAAATCTGTCCAGGGGTCAACCGCAACGGCACCGGCCAACATCGTTCAACCCGACAGCTGTCAAGGATGCTTAATCTACCGAGTGCAACGACAGCATGCAGCTGCTGCAAGCTGTTGGAGTGGTCCACAAGGCACCCCAAAAAAGTTGGTTGATGCTGCTGCCAAATCTCATTGCAGGCCTAGCGAATCTGATTTGTGGTCAACTGCAACAGCAGCAGCCACAACTACAACTACAACTACAACAGCATCCGCCTTGTTAACCCAAATATATTTTACGAGGTTGCCAACTGTAGCGATTAATTTGCTGCACTGCCGATAATTTGTTAATGTTAATCGAACTTGGCCAGAGACCAACGCAGCAAGCTGTTGTTCAATTAAAGCCCACAGCATCTTTAAAAAGTAGGGTGGGAAAATATATACATATATATATATAGATATACATATGTATGTCGTGGTCTGCTCAGTTTCAAGCAATTTCAGGGGCAGCACTCTTTACGATACCCATTAAGCTAAACTATGCCCGCTCAACAGAATGTCTTTCACATAGCGACATAGCCTGGGGTGGCTTCGGTATTTATTTATTTTTTTTTTTGCTGATGCCGCAGCATTTAATGTGATGCCATTTGTGCGGCAATCGAAACGTGCCCCAAAGTGTATTTGACTGTATTTGATTAACTGCGAAACATACTTATATTCATAGATTCCTGCGACGGGATGCGTCACGCATTGACCATTATGATCCGAGACACGCCCACGCGATAAACCCAACACCGCCGAAATCCTTAATTGCCGCGTGGCGCTTGATTGCCTGTGTAAAATGGAAGCAAGTTCTTGACGCAAGGAAAGATAATACGAAAAAGCAACACTTCAATTATTTTATTCTTTTAGAAAGACAAACTTTGTTTAACTTAACTTATCATTTTGACTTAATCCGAGTCGCCTGTAATATGTATAAATGGTGCGGTTTTCTTCTTCTTACGCATGCCCCATTCTGGCGACGCAAATGATGAGGAAGGTGAGAGGGGTGCGGCAGGAGAATTCTTATCGGGCAAATTGGCCAGATTCGGTATACCCAACGTGGCCAGTGCCTGAAAGTAACTATCATCATTGCCAGGATGGGCGATCGAATATTCAACGTGCTTCATCGCATCCTTGAAAATATTGAATGTATTTTTCTCCACATTGCCGAAGCGATCCTTCCACTTCTCGTACTCAAAGATCTGGGACTTTGTCACCTTGCAAATGTTGTTGGAGCCGTAGAAGTACACGCGATACATTTTGCCCTCGTCTTGCAGAATACGCGCCGGCCACGCACAAAAGCCGGGCACCTTGGCGAACACAAAGTCTCCCACTTTGATTTGGTACGGTGACTTCTTTGTTTTTTGCTCCATTTTTCCAGATGTTGGTTGTTTCGGTTTCCTGTTACTTTTGCGACCCATTTGATATGTATATTTCTTAACTATTACTTATTTACTTCGTAGTTTGCAAATTGTCTTTATACGCAAGTGTTGGCAGATTGTCCACTTGTAAGCGCGTTTAGAGCAGTGTTGAGCAACGTCTGTAAATGCAAATTTGCTTGATGACGTAAGGTGAATCGATGCTGATCTTTTTTCAATTTGTATATTTACTTGGTAACACTTAAATTTAAAATATCTTTTTACGCAAGTGCTGCATGTTGGCGCAATTGCTCAAATTTATGAGTCAGAGTTGAGCAACGCCTAACAATCCATGTTAATATCAGTGCTGATAACAATCAAGCTAAGAATTAGAACGGAATACTGATACCAGTATTATAGTAGCTGACCACAGGGCGTGCGGGTTTTGTAAAGCATTGAATACTCATTTCTATTCAATTTATATAGCCATTTTCAATATTTAAGCGAGGATTACCTAACTCATATATCTTCGGTTTCAGAGTATGACAAGAAGTGACTTAAGCAAATTTTTCTTAATTTGAATTTTATTAAAGCTATAAGCTTTTTTAAAACAGCAACAACTGTCGCGAAAATAGCTAAATTGACAACACTGATTAGCATGCCAGCGGTAAACAGGTCAAGCCGAGTTAATGTTTTCTTAATAAGCTTATCAAGCCGATGAGGCGACATTTGCATTAGTGTCTATTTACCAGACATATGCGTAGAAATTTGTTGATATGCTCCGTACAAATATTCTGCTTAAGATTTTCGCTCACGTTCGCCGTATTATGCGCAAATTGGCATTTTAAATTGTCGAGTTGGTTCAGCTAAACGCATGTACACTTTATGGCCATGTTTCGTGTTGCATTTTAAAGCATGCGAAATTCCGCTAACTGAACTACCAAGTTGCAAGACCTTTAACAGTCGGTTCAACACCCCAACTCGCCCCCTCGTTGAGCTTTGTAACTCAATTATAATTATTGTAATTGTGAAATTGCATTATTTAACAGTCGTAATTGCCACTGCATTAAATATGTAAATTAATATGTAATTGCACCTTCTTCTTTATCTGTGCTGACATAAGTTATTCACCAAGTGCAAATAAATCTATAAAATTATTATAAATAAAAACACTCTGCAATAATGTGCAGAAAAAAAAAGAAAGAAAAATATCTTTATCAGAAAGACTATTCATTCACAGTTGTAGCATTTAAAAAACCATTCTTGCACGGCTGCTTGAGGCACACACCCACTTGAGTGTCACTCGCCTTGACAGTGCTCAGAATTCAATTAGGAAAAGCAATTTACGACTTGGCAACGAGACGTTATACTAATATCAGCAGCGACAACGAACACAACGAAGACGACGACGGCCTGGCCACATGAATACTGGATAGTGCATAGTGGACATTGGGCCCGTAACCCGCCACAAAGCACATTAAGCAAACAAGCCGAAGGCGGCACGGGGGCATAAGCTACGCATGTAATTTGTAAGTAATTTTTTCAACTATCAACGTCCCAGACAAACGACGACGGCCACGCATTTAGCCAGCCAAAACGCATTACAAGTGCAAGGCGGAGACGACGGAGAAGGGACGATCAGACACACAGGCACAAGCCACAGTCAGCCAGTACGTTAAGTTGAAAAAATTAAGTAACGAAAGCAGTGAATGGCCAATGTGTGCGATGGGAACGGGAATGGGAATGGGAATGACAGTGGGAATGGGCATGGCCAGCGACAGACGGGCAAGAAGCTAGGCATAAATTATGAATCATTTAGACGCTTCCTTATGACACCGAAACGAAGAAGCTACCACTCTCTAACGTGGCTACGCCAACTTCAAGTTAAGGTGCTGATGATGCATGGCCATCCAGGCGAGGAGGTGATTAACAGGCGACCAACTAAGTCGACTGCTCGTCCGCTGAATGATAACTTCCCAAGGGGGGAGCTAACAAGTATTTATGGGATGGTATCGTGCCTCTGCGACTCTGCGCCCTGCTTGCTACTTGCTGCCATTTTATTAGCCACACTGGCCTTCCTGCCAGCCTGTTCAACATAGCAATTGTCAATGTTTACGTTATGTTTAGCCAATTGTTAATGGCTGTCCGTGTTTAAATATGTGCCAATTGCGCCTCCAATCAGTGAGCGATAACTGGAATTAAAATTCAAATTTGTAAGAGCAGTATTTATAATGGGAGTGTGCCTTAAGAAGCTTAAGAAACTGCCATACTTTTGGTAACAAATTCAGATTTTTTTCCGCTTTTAAGAAAGTGTATTTCAATTATTATTAATGGATCGGTAATAGTAGCTTAGTAGCTTACGATCCCAACTGGACAATGTTTCAATGCACTTTCCGCCATCAATAAACAAAAGACTTAAGACACGAACTTGGCCCTTAAGTAACATTTCCTGCGTGGCACGCAATTCAGCAGACCTGCAAGCCACAAAATACACTTTGCGCATAAATTACATTAGCTTATAGTAAAAACAATTGAAAACAGAAAAAAAGCTATCTAATTAAGTGATTAAAAACGCACACAGACATCAAATTGTGGAAATATGCAAGTCAATAAAACAAAAGGCATGCAACATGAGCCGACACAGCTGGCGGTGGACAATGCCAACCCCCTCCTGCCTCCCACCACAACACACACCCTCGCCGGCAACTGGGCCGGGTGCGCGAGTACGTGTTTTTCTTAATTTTTGCAGTGTTTTCCAGGAACAAACACGCTTTTGCATTTTAATGCCGCTCAAATGAGGCGACGAGTCGGCCAAAAGCAAACGAGCCGCAGCGGCAATGGTCAATTCCAAATGTGTGTCGACCATGTGGAGGTGTCGGTGAGTGTAGCTAGCACGCACACACATACACACACGCGCACACAACCGCATTCAATGGCATTGCCTTGTTTGTGGCTAATAAATGCCTTTTTAATGAATAAATCACTCAGAGATAAGCATCTCTTAATAACATTCATTTAAAGCAGCGAAAACAAAATACATACTCCAACAAATAATAAAGTGAACATGGAGATGCACAGTTGCTACACACACGACTGCACACACACACACACACACACACGCACATACACACACACACACGCACATACATCAAAGCTGAAAGCAGCGACAAACGTTGATTTTGAGCATCTACTTAGAGAAACTTTTGAGAGATTGGCGCTAGAAACGCAAAGCTTTGAGATCTGTCTATGCTGCCTTCCACTTCATCCATATTTCAGTGGTTGGCCCTAGCACACACCTTCGTCTTTTGGTTGTTCTTGGGCTGCCAGCTTGGCTGTCTGCAAGTGCCACAAATTTATTTGTATGTCTTCTTCATGTCAGTCGTCTGGCAACTACTTCACTGGCGTAAACTCCTTACCCGAGCCCAACTAGGAGAGTGGCATGGCATGGCTGACAAACGCAGCTCAGCTGTCACTCTTGTCCGATATGATTTTTAATAATTTCTGTATCCTTAACATTCCGAGCACGCTGCCCACAGGTAGCAAGCGTTCTCAGACTTGTCCGATGCCGCAATCATCAATGTCAATTAAATGTTAATGCCAAATTGTTGGAGGCTATCAGTACAGTACATTATGGGTATGTGTGTGTGTGTGTGTGTGTTGACCAGGATGTGGTCATTTCATATGGAATGCAAGGTGTCTGCCTCAAATAAAGCTATCCCAAACACTATCTATGTGCGTCTGGTCCATGGGGTCAGGACCCCTTGAAGCTGCCACAATTCATTGGTTGGCGCGTAAATCTTAAACTAACGCCTCCAACGCAACGCAAAAGAAAAAATCTACATATTAACGCCAGTGGAAAGCCAACTCAATGGCAACGAACAGCGCCACAATTGGCACAGACTGGCCGGGGCCAGGTCCGCGACCCAAAACGACGATCATTTACTTTATGATCACTTGAAAACCAATCAAGCATAATAAATAATATCGCCAATTCGTGGCAAGGGATACAAAAGTACAAGCAGCGATATTGAAAATCACACACACTCACACACACACATTAAATTATATTCACACTCTTGCCCCCAGAAAATGAAATGGTTTTAAATATGGTGGAAAGCCAAACAAGCGCTGATCGCGCCGAGATCAGCAAACAGAACGAACAACAACGTCAATGGCCAAAAAGGAGGCAGGATGTGTTCTGGGATGCTGCATCCCATACCACAGGCCATTAAACATGACTGTGCATTGCCAGAAAAAAAAAAAATCGACCCCAGTCGCAGTCACAATCCCAGTCACAATCCCATTCACACTCGCCCAGCTGGCGCAGAGGTGAGACCTCAACTTGCACTCGCTCCGCAGGCAGCCAGATCGCAGCACGTTCGACATGGTTCGACTGCAACGTTCGCTCGCTTATCATCATAACAATAATGTTAAAGTGGCAAAATGGCAAACTTTGCGCAAAATGCATACAATTTATATGCACACAACAGGCAGACAACAGATTTGTATTTCAATACGATTGAATTTCCGCTGGATATCTTAGATCAAATGCTAAGCCCAATTCATTTGATCACCATGCAATGGACCAATTTGAATTCTTTGCCTGTCAATTACAGTATGCACTTCAGATAAATGCGCTACGTGGTGTATATTTAAGTACATGTATCTAAGCATTCGATTAGATAATTGCTTTAATTAATATCTAAGCATTCGATTAGCTAATTGTATTATTAAATATAAACGTAGCTCAATGTCAAAGTTCATCTTTCTTTAAAAAGGTATTTCATAATTGAAAGTCGGTTGATCAGGGCATAATTAAGCTGATTACTGCACAAACCTATTTCAAAATAATACTATACTTTTAATACTATTACTATACTATTAATGTTGATCCACACTTGATCTAACTCAATTTTCCAAATTATCCGATAAGTGTTGATAAGTTATATTATGTAAAATCGGCTAGACTAAATCCATTATAAGTCCAAACATGAAAGAACAGAAAATATCTTTGAGTTCAGAGAACTTATAGTATAATATTAAATTGTATTTAATTTGTTGGGAGAGTTACTTCGATATGTCCTTAAGCCAAAAAAAAAAAAAATGATATTCACACCTTGCACATTTTGTTGTAATTCCTAAAAATATGCTTTTAATATTTATAATCCACTTTTTGCAAATTTTCATGATAACCGTTATCGCTAACAAGGTGAAATAAATGCTGCATAAAATGCAAATACCTCTTTGGACATAAATCAAGGCATCGACAGCAAAGCGAAAGATTTCAGCTGTGGGCCAATTCCTGATGCTGCAAAATGCAATTGAAGAAATAGAAGACGTAAGAAGCTAAGCAGCTTTTGTGGAGCGAGTGGGTGCAGTCTGCAGTCAGCAGTCAGCAGTCTGCAATCTAGAGTCTGGTGTCTGCCGCCTGCTGGCAATTGCACCAATCGAAAACTGGTAAAGACAACTTCTAGGCTCAATGGGTAGACATTTTGCAATTGACTCAACGGACAGTAACCCTTTCTTTCTCTCCATCTCGTTCTCTCTACACTTTTAGCAGTTGCAGCTGAATTTTGTCACCCAATCTTTTTTAGCTCGAATATACTCAGCTAATCAATAAGCTAACTTTCGTGGCTACTTTAAATTGGCAACGCCCCTTAACTCACAAGGCTAGGAGGGCTTTGAGCCGCACAAGGTAATCGAATGTAGCGCATAAGTTTATGTTTATCAGCATTGTTAGTTTTGTTGTGGCATCGTTATAATCAAGTTAACAGCATGGCAAAAGCACATAACATGATAAAAGTAAACAAATTTATAGAAGCGTTAAAACTCGTTTAAAACACCTCAGGGGAGGAGTCGTCGCAAAAGTAAAAAAAAAAACATTGTGGCCATAACAGAAATCAAGTCACAACAGATATGAATATTTATACGCATCGAGAGAACCGACGACTGGCTTACATTTCGTTCTGGCGATTAATTAAAGACTCATTAGGAATTTGTTTAACTCAATCGATTAATTAAAAGGCTGTTAGTCTTGAAAAGGGTACACAAAACACTAAGACAATGCAGCAGACAAAAATCAATAAACAAAACACAATAGAAACAGCAACAAGAGGAAAACATGTGTATTCAAACTTAATTAGTATACTTGTTTCAAGCTGGACTTAGTTTCTTCTGCCGGCCATCCCAAGTACAACAAATGACTCAGGCCACAAACTTGTTACAAACAACTGCAGCGATATCATCAGCAACTGAATTATTATCTAAATGCTCATGTTTAGGGGAAGTCTACGAATTTTCATGATTGCAGCTATTTTTTTTCGTTTTAACTAGTCAAATTTGAACTTTTATCTAACCTGCTAGCCAAGAGTTACATTTTTGATTTGATACAATATTTCTTCCTTTCTGTTCATAAGACTAATTTGAAATCAATCAATTCAATTTCTTCGAAACTCGGTTCGACCACATTTTGTGCGAAAGGAGGCCAATCAAAACTATTATATTTGCACATTTTATATAATTAAATTATGACATTTATACACTTTATCCTGAAGAAGTGATTCGACGCAAGATTCGGCTTAAACAATAAAAAAGTGTTACAACTCGGACTTCAACCAAAATAAGACTGGCTTGCAGCCTTAATTTCTACTTTTAATGGTTTAAATATGTTGTTAATATTGAGTATGATAAATTAATGTCTAGCGGTTAAAAAATCATTTGCCAAAAATGAAGGTAATCAAATTAAAACATCAAGATTTGGAAAGGTGGTGAATATTAACTCATTATAAGCAACGCGTGAGTTTGAGTGAAAAATCAGCTCAAAGAGAAATGTTGTTGCTGGTGCTGCTACTGCTGTTGCTGCTGCTGTGGCTGCTGTTGTTGTTGCTGCTGCTGCTGTTGTTGTTGTAGCTGCAGCATATTGGCGTAAATTATGCAAAGTCATCAAGTCAACGTTATCCAAACATCAATTGCTTGGTCTGCTCGAGCCTCTGCTCGAAAAATTAGCATAAGTCAAGCGATACACGCATAACTTGGATGAACGCTGGCCCCGCAGGGCACTCATTTCTGTGCAGGGCGGGACAAGGCAGGACAGGGCGGAAGAATTGCAGGAATGCGTCCTCCTCGTCGTCGTCGTCGTCTTCATTGCCACATTGATGCAGTCACTTTGATAGCGCGACATTAGCAGCAATTTATATGCAAATGCGTCAGGCAAGCTGCCTGAGTTGCGACAGGAGAGCGTAAGCTGATTGATGATCTCATTTCACAAGATGAACTCGGGAGTGCGGGAGCAAGAGCCATGCGAGAGCCGTGCGAGAGCCGTGCGAAAGCGACTTGGAGCGTTGTATTCAGCATCACCAATGCAAATCATTAGCAGTGCTCGTCGATAAGATCAGGTGAAAATTATGCAACAGCTGTGCCTCAATATTCGTACAATATGTTCCTCCAAGCTGATTTATAAATTGGTCGGCATACGCTAAATGGGGCGGTGAGTGCATAATTTATAATTGCCAATTAATATTGGTTCAATAAAGCTGTGAAATTTTAAAAGTGCTTGCATAATTATATAATGCCACATAAAATGTTACTTGTACAATCGGAAAATTTTAAAATAACTAATTATAAGTTACAAAATATTCATATCTAACCTATTTAATTTTAATCACATTATTCTCAATTTATGTAAATTTTTTGCAGATTAGACGCAAATACAAATCCAAATTGAAATATGCCGCTAAGCATTTACATTTTTTTTTATATCAAGTTGGCACTACCACAACTGTCGTGAGCAGATATCGCCATAACATCGATACATTTGTGATGCGTGTGGTGGCTTGGCGATACACTATTATTGTGAGATTCTAGTTATCGACCTCTATCTATTAAGGAAACCTTAAAAGCGATGCAAAATTAGTTTAAAGGATGCCGTAAAAGAAAAACAAAATGTCTCAGAATATTAATTTGCTGCGAGTTCTCATCAATTGTGGCGAAAAAGCAGCAAACATTGCACGCGTTTGCCGCTCCAACGAAGAGTTGCTGGCGCTGCTGGTCCAAGAGAAGACAGGATCCGAGGCCAACCAAAGATTTGAGCATGATTTCAAGACGCTGGCCGATGTGCTCATCCAGGAGACGGTCAAGCACGAGGTGGGCCAACTGTTTCCCGCTATGCGCGACTCAATACTTGGCGAAGAATCGACGCATTTCACCAACAAATTGGGACACCAAATTACGATAGCCATCGGCGTCACAGAAGCCGAAACGGCCGAGTGCCTGGAATCGGTGCTCGATGGTCAGAAGACGGCAGCTGAGGCGCTGGCTGCCGAGGTCCATATGCGGGTCAGCATAGACACGAAACTCACCGGCATTCCGGAGCTATGCGAGCAGCTCGACTACAGCAATTTAGGCATCTGGATTGATCCCATTGGTGGGTGCTCCTTTTTTATTTATGTACAGAAATATTGAATGTTATTATTGCAGATGCCACTGCCGAGTACATCTCTGGCGCAAGCATTCTCAGCGACAAACCGGACATCGCCGCAGCGGGCCTAGACTGTGTCACCGTGCTGATTGGCGTCTACGAGCGCGACTCCGGCGTGCCCGTAATCGGTGTTGTGCTACAGCCCTTTGGCTATAAGCTGGGCGAGCACGACTATAGCTCTTCGCTGTATTGGGGCGTCTGTCTGCCTACGTTACAGGCCCACAACTGTAGCTTTGAAGCCAGCGATGGTCAGGACAAAATTGGAATTGTCTCTGGCTCGGAGAAAAGCGACATTGTTCAGCGCCTTGTCGACTTGGATTATGATCTGGTCGTGGCGGCCGGTGCTGGCTACAAAGCACTGAAAGTCATCTCCAATGATGCGGAAGTCTATTTACTCAGCAAAGGCTCCACATTCAGGTGGGACACTTGCGCTCCCCAAGCGATTCTGCGTGCTTTGGGCGGCGATATCTTCGATTATGCCGACAGCATCAAACAGCAACTGCCTGTCGCACTAAAATACAAGGACCCCGACACAGATTCAAAGGAATGCGGCACCGAATGGAAGCGTAATGCGAACGGTTTGATTGCCGTGCGAGATTTGTCAGTTATTAAGGAGCTCCTCAGCAACTTTAAGGAGAACTGAATGTTGTTATTATTTTGTATTATTGCTGCTGTATCTGTGTCTGTGTAAAAAAAAGGATCCATGATCTCAAAATGTATGTTGTATAAACATAAATCATTTACAAATACGATTATTTCATTGATATAATCAAATTGAATGTATTAAAAGATACTTCTTTCTTTTACTTCGACACATTGCTCTTAGATGACACCATGATCCTTGAATGCACTTCGCCAGGGTTCGTCCTTGCGATGCCTAAATTGTTTCTGTTGAATGAAGCTTAGCCAATACGACAACCACATGGATGTCAATGGTGCATGTATCGGCTATCTTATTCGGCGAGCTGCAACGACTTAGGGTGACCATATTTTCCGACCGACAAAAGAAAAATAATCATTCAAAAACATAGATTAAATGAAAATGTAATTTATTCAAAGTATTTTTGAAAGGAATACGAGATAATATTTGCCTTCGAAGAACATTAAAAATAAAAGGGACGCTATCCACTTCGTCATGAGAATGAATGCTTTCAAGTATTTCAAAAATTAAATTATTTGACGTGACAAAATCTTGTCCAAATGGGGAATGTAAATCCGACGCGTATTGAGCTCTGGTCCATCGAGCACATTACACAGAATTTTATTTTTCACTGCAAGAGATTTCTCCAAGCTCAAGAAATTTTTGTCTTTATCGAAGCCTAGAAACACAGCATTTTCAATTACAATTTTTACAAAGATCTTTTTAAAAATCTCACCATCGATAAAACACTTGGTGGCATAAACTCTCTGCAAAAGGTTCTTCGGAATCGGTTTGATACGATCGAGCGGCACCATTTCGGAGTTGCCAAAGTCACAGTACAGAATACAAGCTTCCTGAGCCGTAACTCGCTGGCAAACACCACGGTACCAGGTGTTGTCCTCCGCATAGAGACACAGGCACATTTCGTCAACGCTGATGAAACATAGGATAAGTTTAGAGTCAAACGATTGATATATATATTTATATATGACATATAGATGGGAACTTACTCCGGTATATATCGTGGTGATGTCAGCTTGTCGTGTGTCTTGCCAATAGTGAACACCTTATTGAGCAAGTCCTGGAAATGCTCGGCGACCTCCTCGCTGGAGAAGAAGCATGCCGTAATGCAACCAGTTTTGTGCACATCAATCGCATTCAGGACAATAATTTGCATTTTCTCGCCCAACGGTATCGGATGTCGCTCCATATCGCTAAAATAATATCGCTCAATATGCCCACCAGCGATCAGTGCTCCTTTCTGAATCGGTGTATTGGGCGGTGATAGTGGTAGCGGAGGCAATTCATCATGTGGCGCGGATTCCACCATTGGAGACGCCTGAATTGCTTCTGGTTTTAGCACACGGGCTGATGCATCTACGTTCTGAGTCGACTGTTGCTCCACGGGAGCGGGCGTAAACATCAACGGCAACATGCGGGTCATCAGCGATTGCGGCTCAACCGAAAAGTCGAGCAAATCAATAATGCTGCATTCCGAGTCCTTGAACTCCACCTTCATCTCTGACTGCCGCTGGCACAGTTTCATCAGCAGCTGCAGACCAGCCGAATTTTCTGGCACAGCACACAAGGGTAGATTGCATATGGTACTGATTCTGGCACGACACAGACTAACCGGCAAGTTCTCCACAAAGCTGCAAGGCATACGCAGCCATTTCTCCGGCACATCCTGTGCGCAGCCAGTGTCGATGTTGACAACGCTAAATGTATTATTTTTTACAGCAGTGACCTGTGGAGAACAATAGATTTATAATAGACCGACGTTAATGGCACTTAAGTTAAGACTTAGGATTAGATTATTAGATATTTCCAAAAAGCGTAAATATTTTCATTTCTTTGATTACAATTAGCTTAAGCCATAATCAAAGAGAGAAAGATAAATTTAATTAAATAAACATGAATCAAACTTGAATATATATATTTTATCACATGCCTCGCCACGGTAGTTGCCCTGATTGGGACTCACAACCAGCACAATGCTGCCGATAGAAATATCGCCGGCGTCTTTAAAGGGCAGACACTTGTAATCCAATCTCTGGAAGATCTGCTGATACTGCTTGGTGATCACAGAACTGATGCAGACCTCGACAATGCTGGCGACATGCGCAATGTACACCAAGCTGCCGTTCTCAATGCGTTCGCGCCAGAACTTCAAACTCAGTTCGTCCACATGGCCTAGGAAGCTGTTGACGCGAACAGCGCAAACGGGCTCATTGTTGTTGGCCAGCAGCAACGTTGCCTGCGCTGCACTCATCTCCTTCTCAACGCCCTGCAGGCTCTCCATTTGGAACTTGATGCAGAGACCGGATGATGCACATTGGGTCAGTTGCTGCCTGAGATTTCCGGCATCTGCGAGGGTGACGGCAAACACGCGCAGTGAATGTTCGAGCAGCTCGCTGGGAATGCGACACACCTCGTTGGTTATCGAGATGCGACCCTCGTCCATTTCGTAGACCAAATAAAGCGACGGATGCTCAATAAAGTCGAGCAACATAGCCCGGCGAAATCCACGGTGGGTGCGAGCCGCCAAAAAGAATGTGCGAGTCTCCTGCGGCAAGCGTCCAGTGAACGGTTGAACCGGCTTATCAATGAGACATGCGTTCAAGTCATCGTTTAGATTGCTCATCACCTTGATCTGCAAGAGGGCCACTTGCGGCTCCTCGCGACTGTCATCGTGTTGAAGGATCCTAACAACGCTCACCTCCGGATTGACGGCCAGCATTTGCAACGGCAAATTAATGGGAATTTTCATCTTGGGTTTCAGCTGCACATGCTCGATGCCATCGTCTGTCTGACTGCCCATCAGGCGCAAAGACAGATACTTATTCAGCTGCACGTCCGTATTAGTCGGCAGCTTGACACGAAAAGCGAACCGCTTGATTTCGGCCATGCTCTGCACAGCCCCATAAATATCGCACGCATCGCAGCGAAAAATTGACCCGAAGTCAATGAGGCGCACCTCGGCGCCCATTGCTCCCGAGGCACTAATCAGAGCACGCACCTCTCCCCGAAACATTTTATTGTCCACCACAACTCCAACCAAATCATCCACACTTAGCATCTCAAAGTTACACGGCTGCTTGGACTGCATTTCGTGTGCAATTCTGTCGGTCAAGCGCTTCAAGTTATCCTTATTGGCGGCGTGCATCACCCAGATGGGACCCTCCGCCTCGATGTGGGTCACACGACACTCGAAGAACTCGTTCGCCGGCGGCTTTAGAGTACCCCGCCACTCCACGCTCAATTTGCCCAACGATAGATCCTGCACCATGGACTCAATTCCCGTCATTTGATTCAGATTGGCATTTGGAGCAGGGGCATCCAATTTCCTTGTAGCGCGACTCCCAACAGCAGCCGGCATCGATTTCATGGACTTAGAGGAAACAAGTGGTCTGAAGTGAAATTTAATTAAAATAGTGATCGTAATTACATAGAAAACTAAGTAGTGTATGGTGTATGTGCATGTCTGTGTGCGTACTTTTTTCTCGTTCCTACTTACGGCATTATGGTGCAAATGTATTTGTGTCGTTGCCAATCCTTGCGCTGGCAAAAATCGTTACAATAAGATTCCCCGCAACGTTGGCACATCAATGTGCATATAATGCCGCATAATATGCACTTTTTTTCATTATCGTCATTCATGACTGATCTTAATAGAGAATACGCAACAGCAAAAATACAAAACACGCGGCGAAGACGGAGCGCGATAAAAAAAAGATGGTGGACTTAACGGTTGCGAGAATGAAAATGCAAATGAGTGTGTATGTGCACTTTGCGAAATATCAATGAATACAATAATTCACAACGAATTAATTAAGAAGTGGTTCTGCTATTTTGTAAATCTCGAAATCCACCAAACGACTTATTTAAATTGTACACGAGCTTATGCCATGTATCGATATGTTCAAGGTACATACAACTTATGATAATTGTTTCACTCAAAAGGCACTGTTATTGCATTTTGATAGTTAATGTTAAGCTGCTTCTAACTCGTTTGGTACGATTTGCAGAGTTTATGGATTTTTGCATGAAATAAAGTAAGATTTCTAATTCTGTGATTTTGTGACAATACAAGTTACTTAGAATATATCTGCAAATTTCCACATATTGAATATGTATATTTTTCTATATTTGTAAATTAACATAAGTAATTGCATACATTCTTTCTTAATAATGGATAGCACTTGTAAAGTGTTAGAATAATATCATAATTAAAATAGTTTTCTATGCTGACAAGCCTAGAAGCAACTGGCACAGAATCCGAATACATGTTTAGCAATGAATGCGTTAGAGCTTTAGGATTCGGATTACTAGCTAATTTTCATTGACACAAACCATTGAGCAACGAATGTTGTCACTGCAGCTGCTATTAAAAAGCTTTTCGTTCGACACACACTAACCATTCTCTTTTCCTCCTTTGTTACAAGCGGACAGGCGACGGTTCATGTCGTGCTTGTGAATGCAATAGCCAATTTGGTTTTATCTTTAGTTCTAACGGAAACAGAAAATGAGAGCGAAAGAGAGAGAATATACGCCGTTACCGGTAGTGCAACATGAGAGGATTCTGTGCTATAAAATCCGCATCTGTCAAGTCGAGACAAATTGTCTCGGAAACAAATGCAGTACAAATGTATGCTTGTACATATGAATGTATATGTGTACATAGCCACAACTGATGATGTTGGCAGCCACATAAAACATTAAGCAAATAAATACAATAAATAACAGCTGACTTAGTCAGCCCTTGCTGACTTTGGAGTCAAACTGCTCTCAATTATAAAAATAAATATAAAATTCAAAATATTATATTATTATTATTTCATAACAAAATTAAAATACTTATCCGCAGAAATAAAAATTCACGAATAAATATGTACAAACACACGCATACACACACATGCATAAGTGATTCGTGTATAACGTATGTCGATATGCAGCAACATGTGTGTGATTGCTAGTGGATATGGCAAATTCAATTAACAGTAAACGTTTGCACATTTCTACGTACGTATGTATGTGTATTTGTGTGTGTGTGTATATGTATATTTATGCGCATATTGTAACTGTTGAGTAGCTTTCCATTGGTTACAATTACAATGCGCTAATAAGCTGTAGGAACACAGATAAAGGCATCGGTTAACTTACAGCCGACTTTGGCGCAGGCGTCACGCACATGCACACACAGACACATACATACATACGCATACATACATACGTAAGTAGTAGTGACTTTAATTACGCTGCTGCCGGGTGTGCGAGTGGTGTGGGCGACACTGCTTGTCTCGCTCGGCGTCGCACGTTTAGTTAACTTCGTCGTCGTCATCTGGTTGTTGTTGTTGCTGTTGCCTGGATGGGATTTATGTTTGCTGTACATGCATGTTGTACAAACAATTTAGCCGTAACTGTGACATTCACATACACATACACACGCGCACATACATACACACCCAAATGGGCGACCTCCATTTAACACCAAACGTGTCATTTGTGGCCATTTGCTGGTTGGTTTGGCCTCTCCCTCTCCCTCTCCCTCTCTTTGTTGGTTTTCTTTATGGAGTTTTGTGTAGCTTTTGTGGTCTATTAAGTAGCTCGCAGCCGTAAATCAAAATACTACGTACTGCATAATCTTTATGCGGCTTGTGCTCGTTGTACAACGCATTTCGTATGGGTTTTTAACCCAGAACGCTTTTTGCCTGAAGTGAGCAACAAGCGGCAAGCATTATATTTTTAGTGCCGCAAAAGTGGCAACAAAACAAAAAGCTTTGTGAGGCTGACCACGGTGTAATGACGGCCATGCAAAATGACTATGAACGATTTGATGGAGTTTGGTGAACTTCATTAAATGAGAGTAAAAACAAACGAGAAAAGTACCAATGCAGCCAAACAACTTTGGCTCGGTAACACTGGCAGCAACCACAAGTTTACTTAGCCTGCCAAAGTATTGATGTGGATAGCAAACTGGAAAATATTACTACTTCGAATGCCGAAGTAATGACTTAGACTTGGCTTCAGGATATCATCTAGTGGAGGCATTTCGAATGGAGAGTTACTTGTCTTGAGTTGCTTACAAATTATCAATAAATAAAATAATTCAATAATGTTGCATGTAAATTTAAATAAATACATCAAAATGTGTCAGGTTTTGAGCAGGACACTAAAATTGATCTGAAGCTTAAGGCGTTTTGAATTGATAGCTCATTTAAAAATATTTTGAATCTTTTATTTATTGATTACACAATAAACAAGAGATTCAACATTTAAAAGTATATGAAACAAATACAAATAAGTATAAAAAGAAACAAATACCAATAAGAAAAAACCTTACAAATTCCCCATTCTTAACTACAAATTTATTAAAATATATAAAAATCAACATCAATTTATAAAAGCGTACAAATTTTGTGCAGTGCACCCGAACACAGCACGCGCAAAGAGTTTCCCACAGAAATTTGACCAAAGCAACAGGAAACCGCACACAAGCACACACACACACATATGCACACACAGTCACGCACACGCACATGCATATAAAATTACGCACGTGTATGGGTGAATAGGTTAGAATGCGTGCCGCACTGCATAAAACTGTCTATCGAAATTTGTATGTCTGTGCCTGTGTGTGTGTGTGTGTGTGTGTGTACGTGTGAGTGTCTGTGAAAGCGGCGCACTTGTATTGAAAGACCATAAAGAACAACGTTTAAAAAGCAAACAGACTGTCAATGGGCTGGGCAAATGAGCATCGCGCCGCGCAAATAAACAAATTAATAAAAGGCAAGTAAAACACACACACAAACAACGAAAGAGAAGAAAAACACAAGAAAAACACGAGTCATAAATTAAATAGAAACAACGAAAATTACTTATCCAAAACGAGGCCTTCACACAACAACAATAACAACAACAACAGCAATAACAACAAATATGTCCCATTTGCTGTGGCTGTCAATTTTTTGTAGCATACACACGGGCGCGCTTCAAAAAAGGAGTGGGCGGCCAGTGGGCGAGTTGGGGTAGAAGGAGGAGCAGCAGCAGCAACGGCAGTAAGGGCTGCCAGCACGAATAATCTACTAGCGATTTATTTGTCGCTGTCGCCGCAGTCACCGTCGTCGTCACCGTCGTCGTCACTGTCGACTTCGCAGCCATCAGCTGCTGCTATTTTCGTTACTTCTTTTCATATTTTTACTTACTTTCAACTAATGCCAATGGGCCATAAGGCAACAACGGCTGCTGCTGTTACTGTTGCTGCTGCTGCTGTTACTGCTTTTGGTGTTGGGTGTTCGGCTTTTCTAGAGCTCGTCTCTCGTCGACATTCTCGACATCGTTCGTGCGCCGCAGTCGTGCGTTGTCCTTTGCTTCTGTCGGTTGTGCGCGCGCTTGGCAGCAGCCTGGCGGGCCCATCTTCTGGCCAAATTACTAACATTTTTGGTAGCGGGACACGTCCACCTGTGCGCGCCACTACTAGGCACCAACTACACTAACTAACTCGACCTCTGCTACCACCATCTCAACCCACAACGTATCAAATTTGCAACCAAATTGCTTTAAATTATCTCCAAACAATATTTTGACACGCGCAAAAGTTTGCACGGCGCGAATTTTGTGTTATTTGCCCTCTGCCGCTCCAGCCTGTGTATTTCTCTGTGTGTGTGTGTGTGTGTGTGTCCTCTTAAGCTGAACAAGAATACCAAAAAAATAAAAAATAAATAAAATATATACAACAAAAAACAAAAAAATCACCGCTAAGTGTTTTACAACTTGAAGGCATTAGCTTCTGTCCGGGTCCCGACACCAGCCCCGCTGCAAATCTTGGTAAGGATTTATATATTCGTGTCTGGCGGCCTAAAGGCTTTTAATTGTACAAAGTTTTTGGTTTCGTCTTAATATTTAACGCTGGCATTGTTGTGCTTATGAAATATGATGGGGTTATAAAGCAATTTGTTGCTCTCAAAAGTCCCCATTGGGCCTGAAATCCGAATTGCAAACGTGTAAGCATTTAACAAATGAGTTTTGCCCGTTCGTTGGCAAAAGGGTTTTTGCGGATCAATGACTTTTTTCGATATACTTATCTTGATATCTATTTCTGTGTGAGAATTTGTCTAGTTCATCCCTCAAGTTTGGCGACATGTTGCTGTTCAAAAGGGACTCCGGTGGCAAACCAGCAGATGTGGCAACTTCATCGAGTCGTCACTGTGTGTCACCTGTCCAATTCATTTCAGTGTCGACAGCATTAACATATTCCCTTTTGTTGAATACCAGTGTCCTTTTGCTTGTTGCCGCCGCGACAGTTTGTCTTCGAGTGGCTTTGCTTTGTTTCTGCTGTTGTTGTTTTTCGACATATTCACGCATACATTTTAATAGTCTGCCCATGCTTTCAATGGCCCACAAGTATGTCTGTCTATCGGCCAACTTGCCTGCGTCGACAGTTTTAGGCCTGCCTACTTATGGCTGCTAGTTAATTTATTTTACGGTCGTTGCCTAAAAATAGCATACGGCAAGCGTATATATCCTTGAGTGTGAGTTTAAAAATAAAATAAAAAAGTACATTTCAACCAGCAAAAATAGATTTGTGGAATTTTGCTTGGTGCCAACATGGTACGCATGTATATGTAGGTCATAAATCTAAAAACAACAACTCAAATGTAAGCACTTCTCATTATTCAAAGGAAATAGCATAATAAAGGTATGCTTACGCAAATTTCCTTTGAAATCATTCAACTTCATTACAGTCTACTAAATTTTAAAGAGCAGAATCAATGCGAATCGCAAGTCTAACAAACTGCTCTTGTTATATTGTTTATGCATTGATTTTAAATCGAACTATCGCTTAAAGTAAAAGTAGCTTTTAAAATTACTTTAAGGCAAAGATGACTGAGAAGCCTGCAACTTTCCAACAAATATAGAAGAAATTATAGTTTTATTAACAATTCAAGTTACTACACTATGATCATAACGTACTCATAAAATACGAAAATTTAATTCTCATAAAAATAGGCTTCTGTAAATGATTATGCAAATCAGTGAATAAAATATCTCTGCTACCAACTATGAAATGTATTCGCATAATATCAAACTTTTAGAAACGTCTCGAATGCGGTAACATTTATAAATAGAAACTTTTGCACACTCAATGTCGATATGGTTGTGGACCGAAGTGTGCTCGAAACATGATTTTATCTGCCAGCAAGTGCGTGTCTGAGAATTATTCATTAGCGCATTTTATTTTAATTAAGCTGACAAGTGTCACGTACTTCTGTTCGATTTATTGTGCACACAAGCAGCACTCTCTCTCTCACCTTCTCTTTCTCCAGAGTATACCTTTAATAACTGTAATTTTAGCCTAGCCAGTCAAAAGGCCAGAAGGAAGTTGTGAATTGAAACAAATCCAATAGTTTCGACAAATTACGAAACACACAAACACAAACAATTACAACAACTGTTTGGAAAATTTGTGGTCAAAACCCTGGACGCCCACCTGTCTGCGCACTTGCTCGCATCGAATATCAAATTGGCTAAAACAACCTGAGGACATATTCGATCCAAATCGGACGTGTTTACTATGGAAACATTAAGTTGAATTATGTGCAATAATATTTTGATTGTCCCAATTTGGTGCAGCGTTCAAAAGTTTGTGTATGCAATATTGGACAAAACGCTTTTCCCCCAAAAGCATTTAATTAAATGAATTTAAATCGTTGTACGATATTGACCTTATTGCATAGTCACTGCTGTTTGGCCTAATAACTTTTTCAGTTAACGCAAACAATTGCCAAAAAAAAAAAACAAAGAGAAAAAAAAATATCAAGTAAAAAGTAAAATCGAAAAAGTTGGCGAGTTTGCCGAGGCTTGTTTAAGTTGTTTCTGCCAATTGTTGGTATTCGAGTCGTTAATTAAGGGATTGCCTGATTGCCTGATTGATGGAATTGCCAGTCATCCCTTGACGAGCCGAGCAGAACAAGTTGTCTGCGTCGACACGAGAAACTGATTTGATGCACATTGTATTTGGTATTGAGTTACTTTTCTCTGCACTGTTCACTCTCTATCCTGTTGCTCGGTTTTTAATTGGCCACAACACGCCTTGGGAAGCGTTCTAACAAGACTATTAGCAGCAAACAGCAATATATACTTAAAGCTGTCGATCCGGGAGACTTACCTACAAAGTGCTCTGCTCACTGCAAAGGCCAGAGTCAATTAGAACCGTCCTAACGGAATTAGCTTTGATAACTGTGCACTGCAACAACACGAGTCCCCATTTGGCTTGATTGATATGCGAGTCGAGTGCAAAATATGACAAGGTTAGCAAAGTTACTCTGGGACAATAAATACGCTCATTGTTGGATTTGTTTGCAATATCCGAATTACATTTAAAAAAAGATAAATCAATAAAGAAAGTTAATCTTAGCCAAGCCTAAGATTAAGTACATGTGTAGACCAGAGCTGCTGGCAACTAAATTGTTGTTTGGAGTTTGACTTATATATCGGTTTAAATACTTCAGACAGAGTCACAGACGTTTCCTGTAGTTGGGCAAACAGAAAGGATACGCGATTGTATCGATTTGAATTAAATTCTGAACAGAAGCGGCATAGTTTCAGTCATGTCAATTTTTAAAAAGAAATGCAGTTCGTCTCACTATTCCCTCTTGAATTAAGTAAATTAACAATTATGTAAATAAGTTTAAAAAAAATAATAATAATATATTTTTGTCGCACTCGAACTAGGCCAAAACAAATATCTGAAGTATCTACATGCCAACCAACAATAAATAGTTAGATCTTATTATTTCGATTATTTATTAATTAAGTCATATTCATTTTCGTTACACAACTGACAGTCAAGCCCCATGACAGAGTCAAAGTGCACAAACGTGTAAGTCAAGGCTCATTTCACATATCGCATACGCACTGTTGCCTCGCTGCGACATTTCCCTTTGCATTCGTAATGCATGCGAACTGCTGACTGCTAACTGCTAACTGCTAACTGCGAACTGTCGCTCAAATAGACACGTGAACTGACTGAAGAAGAGCTGACTGATAAACAAACTCTGCCGAATACAATGCTAAACAAAGGGCAGTTCGTTAGGCCAATGTCTGCCTCCGTGGGTGTCCATTTGCCTGGGCAAACCAATGGCTGTCAGTTGGAATTTGGTTAGTCAAACGCTAGACACATCTGCTGGATGCCTTTGTTGCTTATGCGCTGCCTGCTGATGCGGCTATGGCTAAAAATACAAACTTTATCCTACAAGATACACAACGACGCTAACCTGGCCTGTCTAAACAGTTGCCAGAGATCTCTCTGTTGCCTGCTTGACACACTCACTGACTGAGAGACTGAGCCACTGACTGACTGACTGACTGACTGCATGACTGCCCAACTGACGTACTGACTGTCGCCGTTGTGCTTATCTAATTATAGCATCATTACGGCCACGGCGATGAACTTAACGAGCAAATGGAGCGTTTGTAGCTAGCAGGTTTTAGCCCATTGAAGGACGAGGCGTCCTGGCCAACGATGACAAGGTTTGGGACATGTGGCACCAACCCTTGGCCTAACAGACAGTTATTTATTTTCATCATTATTGCTGGCAATATGACAGCTGGTTAGTTGCACAGCACATCTCTCCATAGTTGTATGCTGATACTGTTGATGGCATCGTAATGATATTGAGCGCTACACCAATAGTCAAAATAGCACTCATTAGCACTTATAGTTGTCAGTCAACAGAAATTGAGTTCGTTAACTCAAATATAGGCTGTGTATGTGTATTTACACTGCAGGGCTTACGGATGGTAGGCAAGGAGGGTGTGTGTTTTGTTGTTGTTGCTATTTCGATGTCATAAGTATTTTCGGCAAGCCATCAACACCATCAAATTGAAAGCGTGCCTCGTACCTTGCTACATTGGCAAATGGCAACTCAAATGACGGCTGACAGCACATTCATTCACACATCTACATCCACATCCACACCCACACCCACACCTACACACGCACACATACAGCTGCAATCACTAGCAGCCACTGTCATTATTTTATTTTATTTTATTTGATTTGCCTCTACATTTTACAAACGCTGCTCAGCTTTTGGCTTTTGTTGTTGAAACCTTGGACCATTTTTTCTTATTTTTATTATTGTTTTTTTGTTTCCTTTTTGCTTTTTGGCACCACGTTTGACGCTGATTGAATACAAATACAATTGCAAATACGTATACAAATACACAAATAAACAAATGTCGCTCACCTGCATGTAAATACAAACAGCAGCGTTAATATACCATCAAATAATGGCATGTCTGGCAGCTGCCTGCGCTTCCTGAAGCCAGGATTCATCGCTAAGTGAGGAGTCTCTGGCAAATTTGATTTTCAACATTTGCTCGTCCTTCTTTTTCACACTTTTGTTCGCGTTGTCTCTCCTCTGGCTGCTGCTGCTGCTGCTACAGCTGCCATTATGTGCTCTCGCCCAAAATTCAAAACAAAATACGTAATGGCCCGTTGGCAGCTTAATAGTATAGGATACCAAGATACCCTTTTGGCAGATTAGAAAATATATAAAAATGTTGGCAACATCTCATACATAAGATTGTATGATATCTAGATCGGGAATAAGGATAAAAAAACAAGGGAATTTTAACGTCATTTGGTATTCTGGTTAAATGATAATTAATATTGTTACCTCTGTCAGAATCTCCTGTTTGGTCTTCAGAACTACTTTTTTTTTTGTTATGATTAATGTACACTGCAACATAGTTAGATCTACTGTGACCCATTCTACTCCTTCGACAGCTCTTAAATCAGCTTTGATTCTGACATGAATTTA